AACCGAGGCGGGGGCACATTTACATTCCAACCTAGCAAGATCTGGAAAGAGTCAGAGAAAAAGACTTGGGAGGAGCAGCTGCGGTGGAGGGGACATCCCAGGGACACTGCCTGCCACCCCAGCAGAGCTGCTGGTGGGAAGCCCCGGGGGCCTATGACTCCAAGGAGGTGGGGAAGCAGCAGACAGCTCTCCTGCAGGATGTCCTGGGGGCCTGGGCCTCACCTGGCAGCTGTGCAGGCACAGATAAGGCACTCGATCAATAGTGGGCAGGCGACTAAACAGGGGAAAGCTACCCCTGCCCTCTACACCCAGCAGAGCACTGTCTACCCTTCACTCATGCCCTAGGCTGTAACACCTCGGGGATCCTTTCTCCATGCAGTTCTCACAGCCTACAATCCTCTCCTTCCCTCCCTTAAATCCTGCTCACTCTTCAAGGCCCAATTCAAAGGTCACCTCCTCCCCGAAGCCTTCTGAGATCCCCAGTGAAAACAAGATGCCTCTTCGTCACGCTCTCCAAGTGCTTCGTCTGGAAGGACCTCACTTCTGGCAGGACCGAGTTCTGCCTTGTTCTCTGCCTGTCGCAGTTCCCTGCTCACCCAGGAGTCGCTTGAGGCCAAGTCCCAAGCGTCAGGGTTTCTTGGGAACCCTCGGCCTTCCCAGGCCCATCAGCTCAGGTGATGCCTCTTCCAAGAAGCCCTTCCTGAAACTCTTCCTTTTTTGATCTCTGTTGCTCCATGGAATTTTTTTCCCCTCACCCATCACGGGCTTCACCTAGCTTATTATTTTGTCCACTAACTTTCTTCTCTGTCTTCCCCACCCACCTACCCAGACTACAATTTCTGAAAGGGCAGCCAATGTGTCTGCCTTGTCTGTTTCTGTACTCAGCACCCAACATCCATCTGTTAGAGGGTCGAATGGCACACAGAGGGTGCTTAATGCATGCTTGCTGGATGCTTGGCCTCTCAGCGACCCACACACCCCTGGAGCTCTGCACACAGTAGGTACCAGAGGAGGTTGGTCAGATGCAATCAGTTCGGCCCCGGTTTTGTAGACCACTCACTGCTCAGGAACCAGCAGCCTTTGTTCCCCAGGGTCTCCCACCCCTGGGCTGCTGGCTGCTCCCCACGAGAACCTCACTCTCCATCAGGAACCCTGATCCCTGCCAGGATTCCTGCTCCCCATGAGGATTTCCCACTCCCCATGAGGAACTCCCCCTCCCTGCCAGGACCCCACTCCCCATGAAGACCCCTGCTCTGCTCCCTGCCAGGACCCCCGTGCCCCACCACAACCCTCACTCTCCACCAGGACCCCCACGTCCCGCCAGGACTTCCATTGCCTGCCAGGACCCCCGTACTCCATCAGGACCTCTGCTCCCCCTCGCCCAGAAGACTTCATTCAACCTTATCTTCTCCCATTTCTATTAACCAAGCCATGGACGTTTTCCTGTCAAATTATATCTCAATAGTAAATAGACCTTTCCAACCACACCCTCATGGAGGTTCCGAGAACGTGGCCCCACCCCACCCCAGGGTGGATGCTCCCTGGGGTGGTGCCAGGGCGGGGCTTGCACTCATCCCTCTGGCCTCAGGTCCCAGCTCGGTTTGGCTAGGGCTGTGTTACCCTACCATGCACCCGAACTAACAGTCTTGTTTGGAAACCATCAGGGTTGCTTGGTGAAAAGCACTAATTCTTGGTCACATGACTCAGCCTGGGGGAGAGGTTGGAGCTGGACCCAGGAATCTGCATTTGAGCCAACTTCCCAGGTGATTTTGATTACAACAAAGGTCCCCAGGCCAGAGGCTGAAAAGGCACTTGGGTCAGCCACTCAATGGGCACTGCCGTCAAGTTCCTGCACGTCCCAGCTGTCAGGGCCAGCAGCTGTGGGGCCTGGGCTGCAGCCGTCCCACATCTGGGGGACTGAGCACAGGACACGGCAGCAGCTGGTGTCCTTCTGGACTCCCTGAGCTCATTAATCACACCCTGACGGGTCCCCACTCACAGCCAGCGGCCTTGGGTGGGCCGTGAAACCTGGGGCGGGTGGGAGTGGGAGGGACCCATGCTGGGCACATCCTACTGGGCACCACCATGTACCTCCACTATCTAGCTCTGAGAACCTGCCCATGGTAGCACCCTCCAACACGGCCCCACAGACCCCACCTCCTGGCGTTCGTGCCATGTGTGGTCCCCTTCCTTGGGGTTCAGGCTGAGTGTGACAACTCACTCTTAATGAAAAGAATATGCTGTCACTTCTGGGACCAGCTTCTAAGAGGCTGTGGCTTCTGTCTCACTGGATCTCTCTTGTCTCTCCCTCTGGGGAAAGTCCCTGCACATGGAGAGGCCTGCGTGGCAGAGGTGGAGGCCTGTCACCAACCACGAGAGTGAGCTTGGCTGCAGATCCATCCCCTGTTGAGCCTTCAGATGAAACTGCAGCCCCAGCCGACACCTTGACAGCAGCCTCATGGGGGACTCTGAGTCAGAGGCCCCAGCTGAGCCACACCTGACCCCCTGACCCTCAGAAATGATGACATTGCAAATGTTTGTTGTTTGAAATGGCTGAGTCTCGGGATAATTTATCGTGTAGCAGTAGATTATGAATACACCTGCTCATCTGCACACCACCAGCATCAGTCTTCCTCCGTCCCTCCTTGAGCCCTCAGCCGTGGCCACGCCAAACCAGCCTCCCTATTGGACCAGGCTGATTCATGTCCCCAGACCTTTAGTCATGCAGATCTATTCTCTGGAGGCCCTGGGCCACCTACCCAGCACACCCCTCTCCCCAGACTCAGTGCCGCATCACCTCCTTGCAAAGCCTGTGCCATTTTCTGAGCCCACTGCAGCCTAAACACTCTTATGAAACACATCACAACCTCTGTTCGCTGAAGGCCTGTCTCCCCCACCAGACTGTGAGCTCCAGAAGGCAGGGCCGTGGTCGGCTTCTTTTCTGTATTACCTGAGGCTCAGCACAAGTTCTGACGCAGAAACGGCTGGTCAAAGTTTGATGAGTGGATACATAATCAACAATGAGTGACTGGCTCTCCAGTCCCTCGTCCTGCCACGCCCTGTTCTTCCAAGGCTCAAGGATATAAAGCCGAACTTGTTATCTTTCCCCAAAACCAGCCCTTTCTTCTAACTTTCCCATGTCTTTTCCAGAACTTCCTGTTACCGCCAACTCTTCCCCTCCTCCCTCTCTCACCTGTCTTCACGGCCCACCCCTTTCCCTGGCAAGACAACTCTTGATCACACCCCCGCTCCAGCACTGTGGACACGCCAGTCCAGGCCCTCATCCCGCAAGATGACAGCAACAGGTGCCCTGCAGGCCGCTGGCCCGTCCCTGGCTCCCTCACTCATCCTTCCAGCCATCTTGAAAGTGCTTCCTTGCTTGTCCCAGAGGGCAGGGGAGGAGCCACAGGGTGGTAGATGTGAGGAGCACCTCATCAGGCGAGGATCTCTGCAGCCACCCCCAGCTCTCCAGGGGCCCCGGGATAGAGTTCCAGCTCATCCTGGCCCAGCCTCCGATTTCCACAGGGAATGCCCCATCCCACCCCTACCAACACAGCTCGCAGGTTGGGCACCTGGGCTCTGTACACATTGCCACATTAGTTAGCATCGATGAAGCACTTTCTGTGTACTGGACACCACTGCAAGCACTTGACACATCTGAAGTTCTTGACGCCTCACGTCAGCCTATGAAGAGGGGTTTACACTTGGCCAAGGTCACGCAGCCAGTGAGTGGCAGGGGAGCGATTTGAAGCAAGGCCCACCGACCTCTGCAGCCTTCTAATCACTAGGCAGTATCTCCCGCACATGTGTCTGCAGACCACCCTCATGGTTCTTTGCCATATTCCAACATCATCTGCTCACTTACTGTTTCCCCTTAGACTAAGCATGTGGCATGGCGGGTGGGAGGGTAGACCTTGGAACCCCAGATGGTCTTCTTCCTCTCTGGACAAGCTCCCCAAGCCTCAGCTTCTTCACATGCAGCAGACCTTCCCTCCCTGGGACTTT